AGTTGTGCTGCATCTAACACAGAAAATACTGTACAACTGCAATCTGTTATGCACAAATGGGCAAAGAAATTCAGCTTGCCCATGCAAATGTGTGTGTATTTTTTATTTTTGTCTTCAGTCAGTTATTTTGGTTCTAACATAACCTGACATTCTTCAGCTTTGCTGCTCAGAAATAACAATATCATTTCAGTGATCCTCCAGATTATTGTCTCTTGTCTAGCCTCAGCCAGCCTGGATACAATGTATTCTGAAAATCAATTCAGCTCATGCAGCATAAAAAAAAAAGCATGAGAGCAGTGCTTGCAAGTCAGTGACGAGCTCAGACTCAAAATGAGCATTTTTGAATATGGACTCATTTGCTTGTCTGAACCTCATGGTTTTCAATACTGAGTCAACAATTACTGCCTGGAGCATTAGACAGAAGTCCCACTTGTTTTTCCTATGGTGCTGAAGAGTATTCCCATTCTACACTACAAGCAATAATGAGTTTGAGGTGCATTGTTAAAAAGAAAGTGTGTGCATATGTGCGCGTGTGTTTGTACATTGTGAAGATTGTATGGTTGTCTGTAGGGACAGCAGATGGCCAGGATTCACCCTCCAGGCTCTACCCTCTCATTGGTCCACTTAGCAATCAGCCTGTCATGTTAAAACTGGTCTCAACTGAGAAACTGAACTGCATTCAGACACTGAAGATAAAGCCCAGCTACTGGACCAAGGCATGGCCACTTTCCAAATATAATTTTTTTACTCTCAGTATATTGTCTTCATTAGTTGCTGCACACTAACAGTTAGATTTTAAATCCCAATATGCAACATTTCAGTATTATATGACATGTTAGGTTAAATATAGATATTACATATATTTCATCTGTTTGAGTCTTGTGCTATTTTTGTTTAGAAGGACCCTGAAATACAGGGTGGGTCATTTATATGGATACACCGCAATAAAATAGTCATGGGAAAATGTTTAAATAGAGATTACTAACACATTTATATGTAAATATATATTAGCCACCTAGTTAAAAAATGTTTCTGCCATAGAACGACGGTTTGAAGTATACAGGGTGGGTCATTTATATGGATACACTGTTATAACATGGGAATGGTTGGTGATATCAAAGTCCTGTTTGTGGCACATTAGTATATGTGAGGGGGGAAACTCCTCAAGATGGGTGGTGACCATGGTGGCCATTTAGAAGTCGGCCATCTTGGATACAACTTTTGTTTTTTCAATAGGAAGAGGGCCATGTGACACATCAAACTTATTGCTAATGTCACAAGAAAAACAATGGTGTGCTTGGTTTCAACGTAACTTTATTCTTTCTATTTACAAGTTTCTGACCACTTATAAAATGTGTTCAATGTGCTGCCCATTGTGTTGGATTGTCAATGCAACCCTCTTCTCCCACTCTTCACACACTGATAGCAACACCGCAGGAGAAATGCCAGCACAGGCATCCAGTATCCGTAGTTTCAGGTGCTGCACATCACGTCTCTTCACACCATAGACAATTGCCTTCAGATGACCCCAAAGGTAAAAGTCTAAGGGGGTCAGATCGGGAGACCTTGGGGGCCATTCAACTGGCCCACGACGACCAATCCACTTTCCAGGAAACTGTTCATCTAGGAATGCTCGGACCTGGCACCCATAATGTGGTGGTGCACCATCTTGCTGGAAAAACTCAGGGAACGTGCCAGCTTCAGTGCATAAAGAGGGAAACACATCATCATGTAGCAATTTCAAATATCCAGTGGCCTTGAGGTTTCCATTGATGAAGAATGGACCCACTATCGTTGTACCCCATATACCACACCAAACCATCACTTTTGTTGGTCCAACAGTCTTGGAGGGATCCATCCAATGTGGGTTAGTGTCAGACCAATAGCGGTGGCTTTGTTTGTTAACTTCACCATTCACATAAAAGTTTGCCTCATCACTGAACAAAATCTTCTGCGTGATTTTTTGCGAGAATGTCTCACGACAGTGCGCCGTTAGTGACAACAGCTGTCTGCAGATCAACAATGGATCACATATCGATTGTGGGAGAGAGTATGAGCGTGCAGCGTTTAAAGTGTGGAAGTACTGACCTTACTTTGAGTTTGATTCCATAAAAAGTGACAAAAACATTAGCGTCCATCGTGCGTGGGAAGAAAACTTCTTTTTACAGCGAAAAAAACCTAAACTTCCAAGCAAGCACCGAGTGCGCAACGACGTAATGGGAAATTCACAGAGAAACTCGCGGATTCTTCAACTGACCGCGGCACACCTGCACCAGGGTAAACCTCCGCCTACCGCAGTCCTGCTTTACAGGTGAAAATAGAGCAACAGGACCGCTGAGTCTTTGACTTTATTTATTTTCTGCTGTGTTTTACTTGCATTTATTTGAAAGACTGAGTGTAAACACAAAAAATATTTTTATTTTATGTGCTGGAATGTGCAGAAAATAGGTTTAAATGTTAAACTAATTTATTCAAGTCAGAGAATGTTGCATATAATTAAATTTTTGCTTGATGCATAAAGTTAAAAGATTAAAACTGATAAAACAAGTTAAAAAAAGAGACTTTTCCATTTGATTACATTTTGTATGATGGATTATGCAGAAAAAGTAGAATTGGGCTGAAAGATCTATCGCTTTATCACCTATTCAGGTTGTAAATCGTGTTTTTAAAAAGTAACTAAGTAACTAAGTAATTAATTACTTTTGAAAATAAGTAATCAGTAAAGTAACGGGATTACTTTTTGGGGGAAGTAATCAGTAATTAGTTACTGATTACTTTTTTCAAGTAACTTGACCAGCACTGGTCACCACCCATCTTGAGGAGTTTCCCCCCTCACATATACTAATGTGCCACAAACAGGACTTTGATATCACCAACCATTCCCATGTTATAACAGTGTATCCATATAAATGACCCACCCTGTATACTTCAAACCGTCGTTCTATGGCAGAAACATTTTTTAACTAGGTGGCTAATATATATTTACATATAAATGTGTTAGTAATCTCTATTTAAACACTTTCCCGTGACTATTTTCATGTTGGCTTGAAATAAAATATCTAACTATGTTGGTACTGCAGCTTACTACAACGTACTGCAACTTCTGCCTAAAAAGTGAAATGGAAATGGTGGACCGTCATGTCTATTACACTCTTGCCATGATACTGGGTTGGACAAGCAGTGTTTCCTTTGCATGCTGTGATGGGCACAGCAATGCTACTTTTGCATTGTAATATCTTTATCTTTGTAATATTTGTAATATCTTTTTTTTAGATTTTGCCCCAATTCCACCTGCACCTACATTTTACTTTTACCTGCTGATCCAATATCATTTTTATTTTCTCTTACTGCTGGATTAGGTTTGGGTTAAACATCAACCACTACACAAACAGCTAGATATAATTAAGTCACCTAAAGAAAAAAAAATACATAAATTAATGAATTAATTGGCTCATCAATCAATCAATCAATCTTTATTTATAAAGCACTTTTCATACAGAAAAAATGTAGCACAAAGTGCTTTACATAGTTAAAAGCAGCCCACCCCACCCTCCAACTCACTCCCCACACTCTCAATACACATATATCCCCCCACCCCCACCCACACACACATACACACACGCGCACACTTAAAGAGTAAAAATTGGGCTGGGCTCGCATGAGCCAAGTGAGGAAACATTATAACAGAGAGCCGTCTGCACCGGGAGCCGGTCACAGACCGCAGCCTCCGGGCTGGGCACACAGCCGGAGGGAGGCAAAGGAGCCCCCCAACCAGGCTGAGAGGACCCCAGAGACCCAGCAGCCACGGTCAATAACAGCCCCGGTGCAGAGAGCGCCCTCCGAGGAAACAATCATGAGCTGCTTTTGGCATTTTGGCATATTACTATGTTCACACATTGTTCTGCATAGTTTCCTTGCCACAGTCCACCCACTGCGTGAAGTGACGTCTTTTATATGTGAATTTTGGAGGTACAATTTTGGTCTACTGAAGGGGTTGTTTTATAATGCCAGACCTTTCTTTCGATGTCTACTGAACATCTAGTGCTGTCATCCGTAGGACCTCCATGTACAGGCTATTTATGGTCCAAATGTGGTTGTTTTTTCAATGTCAAACTCATATATAGATCTTGTTTTTATAATGCAACTTCTCTCAGTCCTGCTACCGATCACAATCACATTCACTTCCTTTTACAAATCTCTTCACAATAAAGCAGGATACTTGCAAAGTACACCAGCCAATGCTATTTAAAAATTTCACAATACATGTGCTTGAAAGCAAATATGTTGATTAATTGAAATAAATAAACCAGTTAAAGAAATCTGGAAAATGTAGAATAACAGAAAACCCCCCACATGTACTGAATAAATCAATAGGCTAACACATAATCAATCATGCTAGTGTATATATAATCTGTATTTATATGTGTCATTTGGATAACAACAATGTTGATATTTGTAAACACAAAAATATTATATTTATTAATCATGTAAAATTCCCGCAGCATGTCCACATGATGTTTAAAAAAATGTAGCCAGTCCAAAGTTCAAATGTTGAACATCATAATGATGTCCAAGTCGGGTCGTGGTTGGACACCCAAATTGTGGACCTAGTTTGGAAGTCATATAGATGTCCACAATTGGTCATGGACCAACAGACCCAATATAGACAAGTTCTGCACGTCTATCCAATGTCGAATGTTTAGTGGGTTACAGCAGATTTCCATCAAACCAAAGGTTTGCCTCATTCTGTGTCTCAGCTCACACTTAAAATACAAACTAAATTATTAAATGTGACAGGAAATAAAGGTGCAAGTCTCAATGATCTAAGTAGGCTAGCACTAAAATGTTCTTATGTGCTATAAAAGGTGGAGATAAACCCACAAACTGATATGAAAGCAGCTGGTGTGTGAGCACAAAAGTGAAGACTTTTTGGTTTATACTTTATACTCTTTGCCAGACATAAAACTTGAATTGTTCAAAAACAACGACAGGAAAAAAAATCAGTTTATTAAAATGTAGGTTTTATTATTATAGGTAGTCCATTGATTCCATTGATTACACAATGAACAGGGCAAGAAACAGTAACATAATTAAACAGGTTATAGGTTATAGCCTCCAGTTATAATGTTGCAGAAAGAGTTTGATGTGCTACTTGAGGTCAGGGGAAAATGCAGTGAGGGGTTTGCAAGAAAAGACATACTAATCATAATCTGTGTAAGCGTAAATGTGCAAGTGAGAAGTTCAGAGAGTTCTCATGTGAGTTGCTTATGCATCTTTAAATGAATTTTCTTCACCGCATGTGAAAGATTGATGTAACCACCATGAAATCATTCATTGGTTCGTGAAGTTCCATTTTAAAGCCTTGGTTTTAGCTTTCTGGTTGCCAACACATACATTTTCCTTGGCCATAAGTGACCATGTTTGGATGAGAGGGTGGCGTAATACAGCTAAGGCTAGCAAGCTTGGTTAGCAAGGTGCATCCATAGACTGTATGGGTGCATAACACATACACAGATACTTGCAAAGTAGTGCATAGTACAACAAAATGCTAGAATATCGCTCACTTAAATTGCAGCGTGGATTTCTTTGACAGCTGTTAGTAATCAACTTCTCAATAAGCCATGTTATTTGTCAGATAGTTGCATTAAAAATATTCCAAAAGGCACCAACACCACATATACTTTGAGAGGTACTTTTCTGTGGCTAGCAGAGGTGAAGCTTAGCATACAGCTACAGGATACAGCAGCAAGTGTCTGCACACACCTGCCAATCGAAGTGGCTGTGCCACTAATAAGCCTTTAAGCCTTAATACAATTTAAAACAGGTAAATTATATATTTTTAAAAAATAACCCCTATGCAATTACTTTTTTAAAGAGAAGGGTTTTTTAAATCCCACAATTCAGACATGGTCATTTCTGTTGTAAATTTGGTCATTTTACCATGGGACTCCCTGGAGATTAACTCAGTTTTGGAGCTAGTCTGTGGTGGCCACTTATTATCCAGTATTTAGTATAGGCTGTGGGCACACTTGTCTGAACCCTGTACAATTTATAAAAATAGACTGTGGTCAACAGAACCATCTACACTGAGTTTCATTCCAAACATTTTCTTGTATAGTGATTGTGACTTTTGGATTTACTTGACAACAAACCAAACAAAACACTCAATGTCAAATTGCTACTAAACCTAAGAGCTTACATACACAGTGTAACAAGTAATCATATGCAGAAATTATAAAATATCAAGGTTTTCCACACAAGCCAACAGAAATCTCAGAAAGTTAAGAGAGCACTCAGAGTCGCTGGTCATTCATTTTGGGAAATAAATGGTTCCTGTGCTCTATGAAATGACAGCAGGGACTCACGTGTTACTATGTCTTCTCTGGTGTCAGCTTGTTGGTGGAGAAAAGAATGATGAGGATAAAGTGTAGATTCGAGCCAGTCCTCCCTGCTTGCTTGTCAGCTTCATTTTGCTTTGCTCCTCCAATACAGTCACAGCTCTTAAACCTAAAATTATATCCATAATGACATGCAGCTCCATTGAACAGGTTGTAACCAAATCCCGGGGAGTTTTTTGTGCCTTTCCGAGTTTCAAGACAGATGGTGAAGCTTTGTAGAGAGATTTGATGTCCTCTTTTTTCTGACAAGCCATGCTGTTTCTCACCAGTTTGTTTATCACTGTTGTAGTCCTTTGTGTCGCACTGCAAAAGTACACAGTCTTGATTTGTGTGACATTGTCTCTTTTTCATGCTTTGCACTCTGTGTTGCTGCTCTGTGCCTGGTTTCCATATCCAATCACAGAAACATGGCAACACAACACAGACGATCATTTTGTGGCCCCAATTATGCACAGAGGGATCTTTGCTGATGTACAAAGCTTCTGCAAAGGCTAAAACGTCATCCAGTTTCATGTCTTTGTGTTTTTAATATCGGTAATCGTGTGGAATGAACAGAAACACTTCAATGAGTTATATTGGTCAAAGCGTTATAAAGAGTATTTCAATACAGCAATATAAGCTTAAGTAAACATCTCGTGATTCACACATGTGTAAGAGTACTGTATAAAAAACCAACTGTAGAGCAAATATTTTCACATTTTGTATTTCCATTACAAACTAGAATGAGATGCAATCTCCATATGCGATATAAACCATGTCACAGTTTACCAATTTAGACAAGTGCAATAAAATAACCTCCTTAATGCAAGATGTGATCATTGTAGTAAGTTAGAGGAATGTGATCATAGATAAACAGCACTGTATTCTGACAGAAAAACTGTGATGTATCAGATAGAAGTGTATATATAGACAAAGACTAGAAGCAGGAGGTTAAGGACAATGCCAATGACTCCTAGCACAGCCAGGAATCTTTCTTCTGGTGTGCTCAGGTATGGACACGTCAGGTCCATGTAAAACTTTTTCAAGAAATCTGTTAATTAATAAAAGTGGTATTTCACTGGACGCTTGGATTATTTGTGTGTTAGTATCGATGTTCTGTTCAAGTAGATTTATGGGTGTTGGGAGCAGATAGGCTAAAGGATCCCGCTGTTGATAATGATAATAATTAGTTTAACAATCTTGGTCCCAAGTAATAGTTTTAGGAGCATATACCTTTCTTATCAACTCATTTGTTCTGGTTGAATCAAAAGTGTCTTGTTTTTGTGACCTTTTAGATAAATGGCAGTGTTTTGGGTTTTTTTTAAGTTTGCACAAAAGTGTGGAAGGAACATGGCTTTCAAATTTGAACACCATTAAATCGAAGACAATCATGACCTCCTCTCCTGCTGTCTGAGACATCCCATAAATGTTAGCCCACAGTCATGGAGCAATATAAATACAAGTATATCACTGTTGCCATAATGGCTGTGGGGAAAGAAATGACACAGTTAATATGAACAGTACAGGAACGTCCAGGCAATTCCACATGAAGCTCCTCCTCTGTGACTGCAGGCAGTCTTTAGCTAGCAGAGCAGAGCTGTCTTAAGGAGTAAACAGTGTAGATGCAGGTGTAGATAAAAATAGTTACAATCCAGCTGATCAAACTGCCAACAATCCTCATAAGTCAGCGCTTACGTCAAATAATCAAACCCTCTTAGTATAGAAATACTTAAAGAGAGGGATGGCAGTGTTGGTAAAAGTATTGTGCCAGCATCTCCATGCTCAAGTCCAGCAGAAAGCCTTAGGTGACGGAGGTGTAGATGTAGACAAATATGACCACTAAAAGATTGAGAATGGTCCCAATGATGCCCAGCACTGCTAAGATTCGCTCTTCACGGTCATTCGTGGAGTCATCCTCTCTTGCGTGAGCGCTGCAGACATAGCGGCTGCCCGGGACCATTGTTACCATCACAGAACCCCACCCCCACAGGGCGTGACGCCTAGCAACAGACACAGTGAAGAAGAATTAAGAGACAGCAACAAAGCTGAAAGGAGAAGAGGAAGAAACAGGTTCATTACTTCTAACACAGAATTGCTGAAAACTGTTCCTCTCTTTCCCCATCACAACACAAACACATTCATTTTTCCTGCATTCTTTTGATATTTACTATTTCTTGCATTTGCTAAACACTTGGTGAAATTTGACAAATAAGACACAACAGTTGGGTCAAGCATCTCACCTCAATGTCAAAATTAAACTTCGACTATATCTAACATTACAGATACACAAAGAAACCCTACAGAAAGAGAAATAATAAGCGTGCACAGCAATAAATACAATAAAATATTAATATTTACAAAAAATGCAGTGATTTGGTAAAATAAAAAACACTACGTGTGATGTATGTAGTGGACAGTTACAAGCAACCTGCTGTTTGTTAAGCTCTAGCTGATCTGGCTTGATCTAGCTAACTTGTGTATCCTTGTGTATCTTGTGTGTGCTGTATCCAACCCTTACATGACCCCACTTCATTGTCTTTGCATGTTTATATCCTTACCCTACTCCTCCCTCCTCCACCTAATTCATCTCTCATTCTCATCACTTCAGTGTTCAAAGTACCAGAGAAAAACTAATTAAATTAAAGCTGCAAGCAGCGTTAAGAGGGCCCTCGCACACCGCGCGTTCAGCCACGCCCAACACCTACACCCAGCACATCCGATCTGATGTCACATTGATGGAAATCATGTGTAGAACCACAAGCTAAAATTTCATCTCGTTCGATGATGATTATAGTCGTCCCATTAGGTGGCGTTCTAACCATGACTGACAAATGGCATATCGAACATTTACGAGCTCGACTCTCGACTCATGGCTGCCACGTTTGGGAGAGATTGGACATTGTGCTTTTGAGTGACAGCAGATTGCTACTTTCTGGCTAGTGAGTGAACCTCCATGTGGCACCATGACCACCCCGTTTCGCCAAACATTAAAAGCTTTACAATTCATTATCACAAAGGTCTATAGACTCCATGCACCAGAGATCACGTCATTTTGATGAAATCATGAGGAGGAGTTTGTCAAAGTATGAGGCCTGAAAAGAGGGGAAAATGTTGCCAAAATTACACATTAATTTTAAAATGGCTGACTTCCTGTTGGATTTAGGATATTGCTTGAAAATACTTTTTTGTACATCTTGATATCTTCCATAAGCTTACCAGGTTTCAACCTCATGGATGAAACACAGCAGGGGCTGATGTTTTGAAATTTTGTAGGGGGCGCTGTGGAGCCATTTCACAATATTCCATGAAAATATAACAACAAAGCCTTTATCACACTGGAGGTGTGGGCCAAACTCCAAGAGTTTTTGCACTTTCCAAGCCCCTCAAAAGCCACTTCATCTTTCATGGTGAACCGCCTTGCCACCAGGGTGCGCCGTTCAGTTTAAACTCACAATTTTCTTACTGAAGCATCATGAGGGACTAATGTTAATATTTACCACTTTTGAGGTGGACCTGATGAACCTGTGAAAATCAGTTTATCAAAGTGAAAGACATGACATTTCCTGTTCCCACTAGGTGGCGCTCTGCATATTCCTAACAATGGGCACATCAATCTATTCAGGGCAGGTCTGACATCATGCCTGTAAAGTCTGATACTGATCAGACTGGTTTTCTTTGAGTTATACTAATTTGTTTCTTCATGGCAAGACGTCAAAGTTCGCCATGCTTTCGGGGTCACACCCTTTCGTGAAAACTCACACTTTTCAATGTAACCCAAGACCAACTCCTTAAGGCTTTCCTGGAGAAATTTGAGTCTGCAGACGTCACCCATCACTATACTGTACCCCAAAGTGTAAAACATGACATTTCCTGTTCCCACTAGGTGGCGCTGTCATTGATATCAAATGTGGCAGTTGAAATTTTTTCAGGGGTGGATCCTTATTATATGTTGGCTCTTTGGTCCAGATCAGACAATGTATAACAGAATGAGAGGCAATAAGATTTTCATGGTGAATGATCAAAATTCGCCGTGCCGCCACGGTCACACCGTATCCTGAAAACTCAAAAGCTCTAAAATTTAATATGGCCCAGGTGTGTAGTTGACACTGACCAAATATGAAGCTTATACGATCAAATCCCAAGGAGGAGTTCGCAAAAGTACGAGGCCTGGAAATGGAAAAATTAGAGCCAAAATGGCACCTTCAATCCAAAATGGCGGACTTCCTGTTGGGTTTGCATCAGTGGTCCCACTGACTTTTTTGTTCGCCTCAGCATGATACACGTGTGAGCCAAATTTCATACATGTAGCTCAAACTATGTGTTCGTAGGGCTGTGTTCTTACTGTAATACCTGTTCTGATTTTCCTAAATCGTGCCTACATACCATACCACAATAATTTAAAAGACTAAAACAAAAACTGAAACTAATTAAAACTAAACTAAACATTTTCAAACAAAGAAAACTAAACTGAAGTGAGAAAATCTAATTTGGAAACTAAGTGAAACTAAACTTAATTAAAACACAAAAAGTCGAAATAAAATGAAAATAAAAAGCTAATTAGAAAGTACAAAACTATAATAATTCTGTCAATATATAATAGTAACATTAATACAAACCACAGTACCCCATACTACTGGCTGACTCATGCATTATTGACATTACACAATTTGTAGAAATGAGTGAGCACAGCTCCACTCGGTGCCTGCAGACTGCCCGTGCAGTACCAGGCTCAGACCTCTCTGTGAGGAGCTCTTCTTCAACTCCAAGAGAGAAAACGCATATTTAGCACAACAGCTCAACACCAGCGACAGAGATGGAAAGAATGATTCCAGCGCTGTCTCCAAAACAGCAACAGGCAGCTGTCACTCAGAGAAAAATCAGCAAGTATGTTGCTTTGACATACAGTAGACCCCATGTCCTGTAGTGAACAATATAAATAAGTGTGGACAGTACAGTCATCATGTGTGCGAAATTTGCTATTTGTTCATTGGCTATGTGCTGATAAATTTTTGGTAATGCAAAAATACTATTCTCTGTACGAGACATGGCACTCGTGGTATCCAAAACTAAAACACCTTCAGAAATTTAGAAATCCTGATAACTGTAAAGGCTTCACAAATGTTTTATTGCCACTGAATCGATGTACCCCAATCTCATCATTTCTTAAATATTCCTAAAGCAATTTCATATAAGCATCTTTTCTTCTAGCTGGTTCCAATATTTCAATTAAATCTTTTGTCAAAATTCTTCAAAATCCACAGTCTGTAAAATTCATTACATTATGTCTTCTTCCATGCTTTTGTTCCTCCGTATGCTCTGTTGCTAAGCACTAGAGCTGTGAGGGATCAGTGGTGTCCTTTAAAAATGAATAAGGTCAGATGCTGATGAGGGAATTATCAGCCGTCCTTGGAGACAGTTTGGGAGCACACAGAAAAAGGGAGGTTAGGATTACGACGACACAAGCGTGTGTGTGTGTGTGTGTGTGTGTGTGTGTGTGTGTGTGTGTGTGTGTGTGTGTGTGTGTGTGTGTGTGTGTGTGTGTGAATATATTCTAAAATGAGTAAGACTGTTGGGCTGTCCAGTACACTGAACCATCCATGACTAAGTCCACTTTCATCCAGTTTTTTTCTATAATCCACGCCCTTACAGTGGAAGGAAGTAGTATTGACAAAAACTGGCCATAGAAACAATATTTTTTTATAATGTGTTGTTATGAAAGAGTACATATTCCCTCTGAACTCTTTAACATCAGTAAGTCCAGACATGTACATACATAGTAAACACTAGTAGCTATTCATCCTCAAAGAGTTTCTCTGCCCCGGTTCTCTACTCTCTACACTTGTTGTTCAATCTTTTCATTTTGGTGGTCTGCTGGCTAAACATTTCAACATCTAACAGCTGTTCCGGTTGCCCAAGGGTGCGATTCTATTCACCACCTCTGATGTTAGGTGTTGATTGTGAGTTTAAGTCATGGATGCTGGAGATGAAAAAATGTTGGCCACCTGTTAAAGGCTCTTCCATTTGATCCTCTTACAGAAATTAAAGTAAGAGAAGACTGATGCTTTTCCTTCACAAATAGCTACTAGAAACTTTTCAATTAATACAATATTTTTCATAAATGTTTTTCTTTGAACAATAAGACCCAAACCAGATTGCTGTGCATCTCAGCCACATGCAGTAGATATCTGAGCAACAGGCTCTAAGTCCATTAAAGTTATGAAGCCACATACCAAGCTACCTGTTACCTATCATTATAGCATAGTGTTAGAATGCAACAACAATGCATTCCCCCCCCCTCACACACAGATGAAGTCCCATCACCTCTTGAAGACTTCATAGTACCATATTATCCTAAGAGGGCACTTTGCTCTCAGACTGCAGGCAATTCCCAGTTAGTATTCAGGCAGCAGAAACCCTCTCTCCTCTTCAAATGAAGCTTAAAACTTTCCCTGAGATGTGTCTTAGTTATGCTGTGGTGGACCCAGGCCCTGGGAGACTTCCCATGATGCACTGAACATGTCTTCTCCATTCCCATCTTTCCACTGTATGTGTTCATGCACCATTACTACATGTCATTAAAATTTGTCTTCTCTCTCCCACACTTTCTGTTTTGGCCTGTCTCTCTATGCTCTCCTTTTTTCTTTTTCTGTTGGGGTTTTCTCTCTTACAGTGCAGGCTTTTTACTTTACAATATAAAGTGCCATGAGATAACTATTGCTTTGATTTGGGGATATGAGCATAAACACAATTGAACTGAAATGAATTTTCAAGCATTGTGTCTGGTTCTTTGAAGATTTAATTTCTTATTTTATCAGAAGTATAATTATGATAATTATGTCTTTGATTATGCTATTGTAAAAGCAATGGTATTATGTGGTACTTTGGTTGTTGGATCTGTGATGCTTTGATTAAATGCTGTTCTCGCTTTGCTTGTTTAATAGCAACAATGTAAGGACCTGCAATCACTACAACTGAGAAGTGACAATACTACTAAAACCCA